ATGATTAAACTTTTCAGAACTTTTATCAGACTTTCATGTTATTGCCACGCTAAGACTTCCGCTAAAACCTTCAGACTTTGTTCCGACATTAGTCGGATGATAAATTATAACTGTTTCACGTTTCAGTTTTAAATTCTAACGGTTTTCAGAAGTCATGTTTTTCACGGTAACCCCCGAATCAGTTTCGCAAATTAAAAAGTTAGTTTATTTATTATTTATTCATAAAATTTTTGCGAATAATCGCGTACTCTGATGTATTAGTCAGACGGGGCGTTACAGGTGTGTTTCGTGTGTGTTTGTGCAGGTGGAGGGTGATGTGGCGTGGGTCCAACCGTGACATGGATTAGTTTACAATTATAATGCCTTACCCTTAATGAGTGTAAGATTTTGACTTTTTTTTAGTCATTAGATCATTAAATTTAATGGCTATGATGTATTCTTATTTCTTTCACTTAGCACTATTCTCACCGGAGCGCATCCCTATAATTATATACTAAAAATTACAAATATTGGGGGAACAATAGCCCCCAAGTCCCTGCAAGGATGGTAAGATATGTAAAATATGAGACGTTTTGCGCAGAAGTTAATGATTTTTCTAGTTTACTTGTTTGCTACTCCACTCTACACTCTACATAAACAACACATACACCTAAGTGTAAGTAACATCTTTTAGCCACCTAAATATCTCATCCCAATAATAAATTGAAAAACTCAAAATTAGGAAATTATGTCACATTATACTATTTTCCAATATAGTAATTCTTGTAATTTATTTATAGTAAATTTAAATTTACCTTAATTTATATGAGATTTAATTATTACCAGCAACCCATAAAAAAATAATAATAAAAAATCAGAAACTAACCCTACCACGTGGACCCCACATTCCCTCCCTAATTGAACCATACCATACAAAAGCACCCAACTACAGTATATGCTTTTGCTATTGCCTTGCCTACACGCCAATCGCCACAGCCTGCGGGTTACTGGGCCTGTTAATGGGCCCCAAACGGGTCTCGAACCGGGTTATAACCGGGTCCTTCACGCATGGATGAAACGGCGCCGTATAACCCATCCTCGTCGCCATCCAGCACTCTTTGCAGAAAGCACCGCACCCGCCAATATGCGAATCCGGATCCGGGTCATCGAGACCCGAATTTACAACCGGCGGATCCACAAAATATCCTGCGAAATCGCCCACCTCCAGCGACCCTATAGCTCGTCCCTTCCTCAGAATAACCAGATCCTCCGGCGCCGGAGAAAATTCGACGGCGGCGAACCGGTCGATGGACCTCCCCCTGCGGCCTCTGGCTTTCCGCGACCGCTTGAGTATGGAGAGGAAGCAGCAGTCCTTCCGGCGGCACAGCGAGGCGAAGTCGGTCTTCCCGGTGATAGGAGTCCGGTGGCGATCTCCGGCGAACGGAGAGCGGGCGGTGTTCTTCCAGTCGACAAGGTAGGTCGAGATCTGGTTGGGCGAGACACCGATCTTCTGGCTTAGCATCAGCTGGAATGACTTGTACTCGAGCGCCGGGTAAATCTCGACGTCGCCGACGTTTGCTTCCCTCTCGCCGTTGAAGAAGAACACCGGAAACGTCGCCGTACGAGCTCTGCCGTCCGCCATTCTCATAGCTTTATCAGGAAAGGCCTAAAAGAAGCACATTGAGACTTTGTGGAGGTTTTTATATACAGAACGCAAACGGTGGGGTTTTGGGGACATAATGGGAATTTTTGATATAAAGTGGGAACTAAAATATTGTTGTGAGGATAATGTGGGGGCCGTGAGGTGGTTAGGGTAATATTTTTGGTATTGTTGTTTCTTGCACTCCAAGTAAACTTAGATCTTGTTGGATATTTTATTATAGAAATAGTAAGGTTCCATTTCCGTATTATCTCGTCGGGTGTTTTAATTATAGATTATCTATTTATCTAAGTACATGTGAATCAATAGTTAAAACACCCAACGAGATGGTAACGTAACGAGACCGTAATATATATATATATATATATAGGAAAGAGTTCAAATGAGAACTTCTTCCTAGTGTAAGAACTAAGAACTCATCTTATCCTGTAGATAAACTATTATTAATGGTAGTGATTGAACTTAATATATTAACATAATTAGGTTAAAATGCTAGTGAGTACTGGATATGGTATTTGTGTCTAATTAATATTGAAGCAATTATTGTAAGTTGTTTAATAGGGTAAACCATCAATTATGATAATCATAATTAAATCTTTTTATCCCTTACATCAATTTTTTTGGCACTACTGTTTCGTCCACGTTTTCCTTTAAATTATTTGTGTTTTCACATAATTTTAAAGTGAAAACATGAGGTGCCTATTAGCAACAAGGGAAAATATAATTAGCATAATATGATAAGCATAAAATCACCTTTGAAGAGGTGGTTTATTATTATTGTTGTTTTTATTATTGTTATTATTATTATTATTATTATTATTTACTTTATTATTGGAATTGAATCATGCTCATTTAAGTATATAGTGATACTTTTTAATAAATATTTTTTTATTCTTTTATTCTAGAAAAAAAATAATGAAGGGTTGGACATATGTCATAAACTTGTTTAAAATTTAGTTACAAAATTAGTAATTTAGTTGGAGTAAACAAAAACATATATTTAAAATATTCACCATGTTAGTTGGATACTAAATTTAATAAAAGAATCTAATTATTTTCAATTTTGAACATTTTTGTATATCATAACATTCAATATTCGAATGGATAGTGACAAAATTCAAATTAATACATTGTCAAATTTTACTTTGTTATGGGTAGATTTTAAATAATAGTAATAATAATTCTTTGTGCGACAATCATGAGAACATTGTATGATATTATTTTTAGTTCCGTACGATGCTACATTTAATATCATAGGATGCTATTATTTATACAAATATAGATTATACAGTTTTTTTTTTTTTTTGTAGATATTATTAATGATAACAACAAACCTTATTAGAAAATCGCATTATACGCAATTAAAAATAACATTTTTTTTTTCTTACAGTAAAACGTAGCTATTATTTGAGTACATCATAAGTTGTATTCCTAGTAGATATTTTTTATATATATTAAAAGAATTCAATAAGTTAGCATAATAATGAATGAGGTTGCAATGTAAACAATAATTAACAACATTATAATGGGGGAATGTGAGGCCCTCTCAGCCTCCACCCGTGTTGTTCTTGATAGCATTCGAAGTTTTCCTCGTGGTACATCCTGTGGGCGTGATGGGCTTCGTGCACAACACTTTATTGATTGTTTGAGTGGGGCTGCTGCTGCCATTTCAGATGAGTTGATCTGCTCTATCACGCATGTGGTTAACCTCTTTCTTGGTGGGGAATGTCCAGAGGTGCTCGGTGAGTATATTGCTAGTGCCCCTCTCACTCCGCTTGTTAAACCTGGTGGTGGTATTCGACCTATTGCTGTGGGTACCATTTGGAGGCGCCTAGTTTCTAAGGTTGGTGCCCTTCTGATTGGTCCTTCTTTACGTTCTTATTTTGATGGTCTGCAATTTGGTGTTGGGGTGCCCAGCGGAGGAGAAGCTATTCTTCATGCTTTAAATCGTTTAGTAGAGGCCCGTGGAGATACAGTAGGCCTTTCCATGCTGCTGGTTGACTTCAAGAATGCTTTTAACTTGGTAGATCGTGAGGCTATGCTGTATGAGGTGCGTTCTCGCTGCCCTTCTCTCTCGCGATGGGTTGAGTTCTGCTACTCCCGCCCTGCCAGGTTGTATTATGGGGAGCACACCTTTAGATCCTGCCAAGGGGTCCAGCTGGGTGACCCCCTTGGCCCGCTACTTTTCGCCTTAGCGTTACATCCTTTGGTCCGTAAGATTCAAGACACCTTTGACTTGTCTCTACAGGCTTGGTACTTGAATGATGGCACGATTGTGGGAGACACCCTGGTTGTGGGTAAGGTCCTTCAGTTGATCATGGAAGATGGTCCTCAGTTGGGTTTACATCTTAATGTTGATAAAACTGAGGTTTTCTGGCCTAATGAGGATCCTCGGAGCCGGCTTGCTGGAGTCTTCCCAGACAATATTGCTCGACCTCAGCTTGGGGTCAAGGTCCTTGGTGGACCTGTTAGTGTAAGTGATGACTTCAGTTCTCAGCTTGTGATGAAGAGAGTAGCCAGAACTATTGAGCTTATGGATGCGGTTGCTAAGATTAATGATCCGCAATGTGAGTTGCTACTACTCCGTGCCTGTGCAGGTATTTCTAAGCTCTATTTCGCCATGCGCACTTGCCCCCCTCATGTTTTTAATGCAGCGCAGCATGCTTTTGATTTGGCCCTTCGCGCTAGTTTAGAGCGCATTGTCACCGCGTCTGGTCCCGGGTTTGGTGACTGGCAGTGGCGGCTTGCCACCTTGCCTTTTTCGTTTGGAGGCCTGAGAGTCTATTGTGCTGGGGACGTGGTAAATTATGCATCTCTGGCGTCCAGGCTTCAGTCTGCAGGGTTACAGGATAAGCTTCTTCTTCCTTCTGGGATCGCTGATGCGGGCATTACCTTTGGTGATGCTTTGGAGGTGTTTAACAGGGTTGCAGATACTGACTTATTGAGTGCTTCTAGTGAGATTGCTGCCCCCAAATTCATGAAGAAATTGGCAGATATATATTTCACTCGAGTTACCGATTCGGCGGAATCTGTATTCTCCTTATCTCCTAGGCAGGTGGCCTTGTGGAAGTCGCAACAGGGTGATCACGCATCAGATTGGCTCCGCGCAGTCCCGATTTCTGGGTTAGGGCAAACGATGAATGGTAAGACCTACCGTGCTGTGCTCTGCTATCGGTTAGGTGTGCCATTGTTTTCCATTTCCAGACCATGTTCGGCTTGCTCTCGGGTCTTTGACGGGGATATATTTGGCGACCATGCGGTGTCATGTGTCGGTGTTGTTGGCATTAAACATCGCCATAACCTTGTTCGCGATACTCTTTCAGATGTCTGCTTTCGCTCCGGGATCTCTGTTGGTAAGGAGGTCGATATTGGACTCCTTGATGCGCAAGATAGACCACTTCGCCCTGCTGACTTATTACTTTACTCATGGGATAGGGGGCTTGACGTCTGCGTTGATTTGACTGGTTCCTCGCCCTTGACCCAGTTCGGGATGTCTGACTTCGTTCCGGGACGTGTTGTGGTTGATGCCGCTCAGCGCAAACGTGCGAAAATATGACGCCTTGTGTGCAACTAAGGGCTATGGATTTCTTCCATTCTCTTTCTCTTCATTGGGGGAGTTGCACACGGAGGCCATCGCCCTACTCAAGAGGATACAGAAGTATTCTGTATCTCAGGATGCGGGAGCACGTGCCGCTCCTCATATTTTCACTCGTATTAGCTTTTCCATTGCTAAAGGAGTGGGAGCCCAGATAGTATCTCGGCTCCCCTCCAATTTCTTGTAATCATTTTGATTTCATATAATAATAATAATAATAATAATAATAATAATAATAATAATAATAATAATAATAATAATAATAATAATAATAATAATAATAATAATAATAATATTTTATAGCAATGCCAAATAAGATTGATAGCATCACAATAGACTAAAAATAACATCACCACTTATTAGAGTATATCAATTTATTTAATGAATGTGAGTTTCCTTCGGTGAACTGATATGATATCCCTAAAATAAGGAGTTGCAACTTAAGTAGGATTTCTAAAAATTTCACTTCCTATATTACCTTTATTACTTACCATCACATAATTTTATCCTTCAAAAATTGCTATTATTATGAATAAATTTAGACTCTTGATTATGGTGCAATAAAGAGTTAGGATTGGTTCTTAGTTCTTACACTAAAAAAGGTTTTTATTAGAACCACACTATATATATATATATATATAGGGTTGAGTTCCAGTGAGAAAAGGTTTCAGTGAAAGAAATAAGAATACATCATAGTCATTAAATCAAGTGATCCAATGGCTAAAAAAAACAGCATTTATTTATTCATTAAGGGTGTTTTAGACATTTTAACATTATTTTGTCCCAACTACAAATCAATTACACCCAATTATTACGCGCCACGTGGCAAAAACACCTCACACATCCTAGCCTCTCTCTCACATACTAACACACACACACAAACCAGTCAACACGCACACACACTACACATGTACAACATACTGCACACACACAAATACACACACAAACAGTCGACGGGTCAACCACCGGCCGCCCGATTTTCCGGTGACGTCATGCTTGACCGACGGCATAAGCGCGCCGCACCTCCGTCAGGCCGACGCGCCGCCGTACTCGATGGAGGTCCGATCTGCTGCCGCCATCAAACCTCAGCCACAAATCTCAGATTTCCGGCTACCGATCGCCGTACACCGTCAGGATCTCTACATCAGCCATCAGGAGCCTGCATTCACGCGCACCCTTAGCCGTCGTTGGTCTATCGTCTGGAGCTCCGCCGCCGTCGTTCTCTACCCATCTCAGTCGGCGGCCGATTTCATCACTCCCGCTGGAAGTTGGCGTCGAAGCTCAGGTCGCGGCGGGAGAAGCTCCGGAAGGAACGACAGAGGCCTCTGAACACTATAGTGGCACTGTAGAACTCAGCCACCAAACGACACCATCATGCCGTCAGCCG